GGGGGAAAGCAGCTCATCGCCATGGTTACCAGCATCTTTGCAAAGTTCTTCACATCCATCTGGTTTCATTTTCAGCCTTTTCATCTCGCGGAGGGAACATCCCTTGATGTTGCTGGCTGCACCAGCCGTGGCAGACGGCGCGGTGGGTTAGAGGAGGCGTGTGGGAGGTGGGAGACGGGCGCGCTTTGCCTCCCAGCCCCCGATACGAAGCCTGACATCGAGTCAAATCGCTTAACCTCCTGTCCCTCCATTTCCCACCTAGCATAGCTCGACCGGGACGTGCTCTCTGATGGGATTCGGGTGGTGTTTTCTCAGTCTGATACCAAGCAGGGACTGCCACGTCCTGGACCGTGAGCTCCAAGCCCGGGCGTATCCGAGCAGAGGCATCTCAGCTCGGGGAGCCAGGCCCTGCCCCACTGAATAGCCCCTGTCTTGCAGCGGGATCCGGGCTCGTACCCGGAGCCGATGAGGCCGGAGGGCGGCTCCGTGGCCCAAGCCTGGGCTCCTGGATCTGCCTGCAGAGCTCCCGCCTGCCAGAGCCTTCCAGCAAATCAATTCTGGAAATGAACAGGAGGGACTGATTGAGTTAATCCTGAGAAGTTAATCAATGTCGAGGCGGTTTGGCCAGAAGTCCTGTTTATAATCCATACAGAGATCATTAGTACCTCGTGAAATGGAGGCACAGCGCAAAGCCAGGCTTTATGGAAATCAGAGGCAGAATCACGTCCAGGTCCCACAGGCTGAGCCCGGGGGACCCGTACCCAAGCGCAGGTGCAGGATGCGGCCTGCCAGCCGTGGGCAGAGCTTGCAGAGAGCTCGCAGTCACGCTCGTGGGGACTGCGAGGCTCAGGGTCTGCCTGGTTTCCCCTCTCCCCCCGGGTTTTCCGCCTGCCCCATCTCTCTGTTCAGCATTACCAGCTCAGAGCTGCTCGAGGATCAAGAGCAGCCCAAGCCTGGCACCAAGGTGGTGCTCGAAAGCACGGCAAGAGCAGTGCCGTGTCCGTCCCAGTGCAAAGGCGGCCGGGCATCCTCCAGACAGGGCTCCAGCCGGGCTGGTACCCGGCTCCTCGGGCTCATCACCCATCTGGAAGCGTGGCTCAGCAGAGCAGACCGGCCCCTTGCCGGCGAGGTCTGCATTTAGCTTATCCTTCCCAGGGCTCTGAGACCTCCTGCTCTTGCTCATCAGCTTGGATGGGTCCATCCCCGGAGCAGCGAAGGGAGCCCGGCGAGTGACACAGCTGTTTAGCACGGTGCTCGGCCAGCCTGTGGGGAGCTGCGGGAAAGCTCTCGGTGTCGTAGGACCTGAGCCGCATCCTGCACGGATGTGCCCATGTCCAGAAGAGAGATCGCCGATGCAAGCCCGGGTACCAAACCGCAGAGAGCCGGGCCTGCCGTGCCCTGCATCGGGGGGAGCCCCTGGGGAGCTCCCCGGCCAGCGGCAAGGAGAAGGAGCACCCGGGACCGGCTTTGATGCATTTCCAGTCCCTACAATTCAGCACCCAGAGCCTCACGCGGCGTTTGCATGGGAGTTGGGCCGCTGTCTCCGGCAGAGCCGGGCGAGAATCAAACTCTGGCTGCGGTCCCGAGAGCTGGCAAGGCTCCCCAGATAAGCTGCGCCGGCTTTGCCAAGGAAACCGTTACCCGGATCGCCTGCCTCGAGCAAACAGGCTGGTTTTTCCCAGGGAAATTCGCAAGACATGCGTTGGGCTGGGGCCGGAGCATGCGGCTCCCCACCGGCCGGTGGCTCTCGGCAGAGCCCGTCCGGTCCCCAGGAGCGCGTGGGGGCCAGGCTGGGCGTGTTGGGGGTCCGTAGGAGTCTCCGAGAAGGGCGCGGTGTTGGCTTCCCCAAATGTAGTGAATGATAAAAGCCGCAGAGCGGGAAGCCTGCGCTCCCAGCCTGCCTCCGTCCCTTGCTTTGTTTTGCACGGTCTGCCAGCAAAGTGCCCGTAATCCTGCAGGGTGCACTTGAAGGGGTTGTTTGGGGAGCTAAGGGGGCTGCTCCTGACAGCGTCACTGGGACTTAGACGTTAAATTCCCCCCCCGGGAACACGCTTTTCCTTCTCCTCCCCTCCGCAGGGGTCGTGGTCGGTACCCGCAGCCACCACTCGGGGGGCAGCCGGTGCCCCCTCCTGCGGGGACAGCCCCTCTGCGCAGTGCCCGCTCCGGCTCTCTTTACCCATCGGCATCAATAATTCACCGAGTTTAGCTTCATCAATAATAAACACGCATCAGGCTGCCAGCCAGGGGAGGCAAGGACCTCCCTAGCCCCCTCCGCAGCCACCCTCGGCACCGCCGGGATGGCATCGGGCTCTGGTCCGGGCATGGATGCCCCCGGTGCCACCAGCCTTTCCTACCTCGCATCTGCCTTTGCTCGGCTCTGGCTTCGCTCTCAGCCAGGCTCAGTGGTCCTGGTGTCCGCAGCCCTCTCCCAAAACCACCTGAGCACATCTGGAAGAGCAAACGTCAAGGAATGAGCCTTGGGGACAGCAAGGACAGTGCCACATCCCCCCAGCCAGCGTGGTGCCGGGTGGGGATGTGGGGAAGGGCTTTCCCACCCCCCCAGCGGGCGCCAGGTCACTGCCCCCCGGTTCTCTTGCCATATTATTTTCAGCCTTGGTTTGCAGAGTGACTTTAATTAAAACCTTCATCTCCAGTCCTTGTAATTTCCATCTCTCGCTATTTGTATTGGTGGTTTAGACTAGAGATACGTATATATATTTAATTGGTATAAATAATGCATTTTCATAGCTGAATCTTTCCTTAGCTCCATATTTGGTGCCAGAAATAGCATTTTCATTTCAAACAGGCTTTTCTTTGCATGTTCCTTCCCTCGGCCAGAGCAGATCCCTTCTCGGAGGCCCGCGTCTGCATGCCGGGGACCGCGTGGGTTTGCAGCCGCTTGAGTTCCTCTCTGCTGGGCCAGCGTACGTCGCACCAGCTCGGCTCGGTGACAGTGGCCCAGACAAAGCGGGACGGGGAGTGCTGGGTCCGTCTTTGATCTGAAACAGAAGCCCGTTGGCAGGTGGCTGAGGAGGGCTGTGCATTTGGGGAGCACCACCTTCACCCCCCCCGATGCATCCCCAGAGGCACGTTCTGCCCTCGCTCATGCCGCTGCGGTTTTCCCCGGGGCTGGCAGCAAAGCTGGGGGGGGGGGGGAAAGGGCTCCCCCCGGTCCCCTGGGCCGCAACCA